TAAACACAGAAAAGCAGAAGGAGGAAAGGAACTGGGCTAAATGGCAACTATTCCTGACCATCTCAACTCAAGTCTCAACATGATTTCAAAATGGATAGATGCACGATTGACTCAGCCAAGCAATGAAAGTTTTGTAAAATGATTTTGATCATGATATTCTTTCTGCTTGGAATGTCACATATGCCAGGAAAAAGACAGCTGCAGGAAAAAAAGCACTTTTTCAAGTTGTGTATTCCACTGGTTAATACTAGCTCTCATAATTATGCAGTCTACACACCGGAAGTAGACTAAATTTGGTCACACAGGGATAAGTAGTGTAAGTCTGTGGTTAAGGCAATGGCTATAAAATCAGACAAACCTGGGTACCAATGATGGCTCCACCACTTACTAGTAATATGCCCCTGAAAAAACTCTTTTTAATCTCAGTTTTTTCATATGTAAAAAGGTAATACTGTTTCTTAAGAATTGAGATAATATGTAATATAGTGTCTGCTATGCAGCATTACTCTATAAATTACAGCTACTGCAATTTATTCCCATATTTAAGTAGGGCACTTTCTTATGTGTACTACCATTTTTATTATTATTTAATCATGACTTGGGCTGTGATTTAAGTATAGCACACTATATAAATCAATTTCTACAAAAATGTAAAATTTAAAAACATGTTATCAGTTTGATAGCATCAAATTAATTTATTTTAAAACTTTTTTTTAATTTACAGAGTTTCTAATCCATCCTATATTGTGGAATTTTCAAAGGCATCTGAGCTGGACAAAATGGGGAGAGAAGAGCTCCACTTTAAAAAACAAAACAGTTGGTAAATTGAGTAAAGATACTTTTAATGCTAACATTTTCCCTAACTTAATGAGCCTATAAAACTTTTCTTCATCTACCATCTATTAACAGTCTATCCAACTAATGGTCCACAGTAGTCTTTAGAAAAATGCAGTCTCATAATACAGTTCTGAAATGTTAGAAATCTCCTCTTATTTTAAAAAGAAATCACAAGATTTTTACATTTTTATATTCACAAAATCATGAGATTCCTCTGAAGACTAACAGAAAAGCACCACATGACTATAAAAATACAGCCCAGTGCTGGGTGCATTTCTGGTGACATGTGGGTATTCATCTTAGTATTATCAATCAACCACATAAAATGGAATTGGGGGGAGGTGTGATAAAATATGTAAAATTTACTAGTTAAAAAGGTTGAGACTTTATTCATCCAAAAGTTTAAAGAGAAATTCAATGGTATTTATCGTACGTCTATTATGTGCCAGCAACTAAGGTATGCATCGAATGAGAGACAACAAATAAAGAATAAAAGCCCATGAGATCTGAAAGGTTCTGATAAAGTAGAATAACTGAGCTTACTACTTGTGCCTTGTCATAGCTAAAAAATGCCTCCACCCCAAATTTAATGGTTTTTGTTTTCTAGTACTGCACTACCTGCTGCAGTCAAAGAAGCCAAGCCATTTAAAAGTCCACAAACTTTTTGAAGAAGCAAAAACAGAAGTATTTGTGAATTTAATAAATTCTATTCATTTGAAATTAGCTCTGACACCATAAAACCTCATAGGATGAAAAAGGGGCCATCTCACTCATTTTTGCCCAACAACTACATTGAGTCATTTATTGAGAGCCTGAGTAATTATTTTCTTATTCAACTCCTCACACACAATTAAAATTTTAAAGGTCTGATTATTACATAGCAAGCTCAATAGAATCAAAGGACTAGTCAACCATGATACAGCAAGATCTTGATATCCTAAGCTGCATGTGGCATCTTGAGATGGCAAATTCTAGTATTTTAAGTTCTAACCAAAGTATCATGGGCAATACCACTCACATATTTTCTATAAATTGCTTGATCCAAAGTTATTTTATCGCTAGTGTTACTTTAGTCTAATCTCTCTCTAAATTATAGCAAAATATAGGCACTTGTCAGGAAACAAACAGGTTTACAGAATAAGATCAGGGACTGTAGTTCAGGCACTACTAGGTAGTATCTGTCCCAACTGGCCTTTTCATGAATGTAGTAATATGTTTTCCTCCTCCTGGCAGTAAATGGTTTTAACAACTTTCTTTTCTTTTTTTAAATAGAGATGGATTTCACTATGCTGCCCACAGTAGTCTCAAACTTCTGGCCTCAAGCAATCCTCCCACCTCTGCCTCTCAAAGTACTCGGATTATAGGTGTGAGCCACCACGCCCAGCCAACAATTTTCTTTGTTCATTAAATTTATATTATTATTCATTTAAATACCCCCCCCCACACAAACACACACACATACTTTAAGAAAAGACATATGAAACAGTTAAGTAAAAAGCCTGGGGTTTAACTTTTATTTCTAAGGTTCCTCAAGTATAGCTTAACTAACACTCTTTTACCTGGAAAATCATGACTACAGAAGAGTTTAATTTCAAAGGCCCTGTTAAGAAAATCAAACTACAATGGAACTTCTCTACAACACCCTTTCCTACTAGTGAAATTAAGTTTAGGGCTGGTCTTTCTCTGGATCTGATCCAAAGAGAGTTAATTAGTGAAGTACCACGAGGACCTCACGGTAAGGGGCTGGGCTCTCGGCGCAGCGTCATAACATGCTTCCCACACAGCCGCTGCCTTAAGCGCAGCTTGCGTGGCTCATTCCTGAGGTGAGACAGTGCGCAAAGAATCACTTCGTCTAAGAACACCTCTTGGATTTAGTTGGTAATTTTATTCATAATGATGAACAAAACCAAATTATACTCATGAACCTAAGCATCTAAATACTCTACATTCATGGCCTCCTATCTATAAACTTACAAAGCCTCAGCGACTTATTTCCACTTTTGAAGTTTACCATCTTATCTTCTTTAGAATACATGAAAGACAATTCCTACACTTTAACAACCTGCTAGATGCTAGGATGTAGAAGAAGGCATTTCAAAAATACTTAGACTACTATACAAGCTGCCTAAATTCATGCATTTTCATTTTGAGGATTGAATATATTTACGTATGTATCAATCAGGTGAATTTGTGTGATGCCAGAAAACTCCCAATATGGTGATATAAAAGTAGCACTGTGAGAACTCACATTCCTGAAACAGGAGGCTCTGACTTGCTGTTAGGCATAGAAAAGTCTTTCTCGGTAGCTGCCCATGGGATTTCAGCTTGATAAACACATAGCTGACTCATGGGATCAATTATAAAGAAGCAGTAATTTTTTGTGGCATTAAAAAAAATCTGTGTTTTCATAAGTGATGAATACATGTTAAGAAGTCAGATAAATCCCACTGATCGCTTTATTACCAAATCAATAACCAAAGCTCTCCCTCCTACACTCAAACCTACATGTGAATTCCTCACTATAGATTCCTGTTCTCAATAACCTTTCTGATGATTTCTCATTAATTTCAACTACAAAAACATTTTTTTTGAAAACTATTCAAGTATAAAGTCGAAGCTGAACTGTCACGCTTTAGTTTCTGAATATAAAAATCAGCTGCCCAATATTTCTCAGTATTAGTGATTTTGCTTTAAATAAATTGCTGGTCTTGCTTCAAATTTTTAAAAATTACAACATTGGAGGAACAAGGCAGTTTTAATGTACCCTCCCCTCCTCCAAGCAGACTATTATACCTTCTACAAAAACTGTTTTCCCTCAAGAGAAAGAGCAACATTCCCATTTTAAAGCAGTTCTCTATGACGTGCTATCAAAGCACAAGCGGCATTTGCGATACTTACTGAGTGTTTCTCCTGCTGGCCCATAACTCCATGGTTAGCTGGGATTGCTAGTGGTTTCATAATGAAGAAACATATGCTGAACTGAATTTACACATCATGTACCAATCTCTCACGATGGCAAGTCACCCTCTACAGCATTAAATTAAAAGAAAAAGGAAAAAAAAAAAAAAAAAGAGGGAGGAGGGAAAACCAAGCTGCAGCTTAAAGTGTCACTACTGGTAAGCTTAAAAACCCTTCACACTTGTAGACCAGAAAAGGAATCCGAACAACAGTGTTCGTCTCCATTTTTATAACATTGAAACTCTAACCATCCTAGGCTATGACAAGACCGAGAAAACCTCATACAGCTCTCAGTCTTCCAAGAGAACAAGATCATTTCTGAGATTGAAGAACAAGAGGCAAAAGAAAAGGAGAGGAAAAAAAAAAAAAAGAAAAAAGCTAAAATGGCTGACTGCACACAGACTCCCCTCAAAAAGGCTTAACACAGAATTATATTAGTCAGGGTGGTATAAGAACCAGGCTCTAGCATTCAGCCAAGCATTGTTAATACCCTTGTTTCATCTGCAATCACACATACAGAACCCTCCAACCAAGAGAAAAAAAAAGAAAATGAAAGAAAGAAAAAAATCAGGGCAGAGCGTGTGAATCGGGAACTCCTCCCTAGCTGCTAATGATGCTGACAGAGTGGTGACCAGTGATCTCTGTCCCACTCCACTAACCAAGTTTGCACAATTAATCTTAGCAGCATGACACTGATGGACATTTAATTTAATGATGTCTGTCCCTCACACTCAACACAAGCATGCCTGCTAGCAAGAGAGCCACTAACAGAAACACAGCACATGCACACACACAATCTCAAAAATCATGAGTCTGAATGCAATACACCAATATAATTACATTATTGTGCTTACTTTGGAGGACCATGGCTGCAGGCAGTTGGCATAGCAACGCACAAGGAAAGCCATTTCCTGGATAGAAAGCTTCCTTTTCTAAATAAAAAATTCCTCTTAGGAAACAAACGGCATTGCTGCTTCCTGCAGAAAGCAAGACACTGTAGTCTGTCTCTTAACCTGCAAGGCTCACACTCAATGCAGTTCTAGTGATGTAAGTGGATTTCTCTCTCACCCTCCCTCTCCCTATATACACTGAAATATTCAGCTCAAATGGTACACACATTCCTTAAGACTCGCCCCCTCCTCTACTTAACCATTTCACTCATTAAGGTAGCAATGGACAATTCAGATAAAGTAACAAGCTCTTGCCTGTATTCTATCAGCAGCTGTAGGTTAAGCAAGTCTCAGAGGGATGGAATCCATTGATTGCTGACTCCAAATAATATCACTGAAGACAGGGTGGGAAAACGGAGCAAGGACTTACTTGAACAGCTTTGAACTAAAATATGATTTTTTTTCACCAAGGTGAAGATAAAGGAATCAATGTGACCTCTATCCCACCCTCAAATATCGCTGTGCTATAGTAAACAAATATCTATCAAAAATTTATAAAATGCACACTTGACAAGCATTGTATAAATTTAGACGATGTGATTTTCACAAACACCCACACACACACACACACACATACACACACACAGATGCACATATTGCCTTGCAAATAATATAAAAAATTAACCTACCCAGGTTTTTTTAAAAAACCAAACCAAACTTCAGAGGCAGAGAGTTGAAATAAAATGAGGATACATTATTCTATTACAAACTCTTAATTTCACGTAGGTATGTAGGTATTTGAAAGACTGCATTATATTTGACAAAGAATAAGGACATTTTAATTCTGAAACACTGGTCAGCTTTTCACAATCAGGTTTATCTATCAATGATGGCACATGTAAAGAAAATAGATACAGAAAATGTAGCATTTTTAATAATTGACTTTGGAATTGTCAGTGCTTGCTGACTTGTGTTTCTTGACTACTACCTAAGACTCTGCCCACCCTATTCTCTTTCCTTCTTTCTCCTCATATCTAAAGGCAACCATTCCCACCACATCACTCTTTTGGATCCTTCTCCAAACATTACTCATTATTCTTCTTCTGCTATGTATGCTTAACCTCTGCCCCACAACCAGAGTCCTCCCTGCCAGCTTTTAAATGTGCAGGTCTCTCCCATCTCAAAAACAAAACAAAAACAGAAACATTCTCCAGACCCGGTATTTTCCTCTTCCTCCACTTCCCAGACAAATCTCTCAAGAATCTGTTTTGGTTTACACCATTCCTCATCCCATGGAATACTCACATGAGGAACCACAGTGATCCTGTTACGCCATTTCTACATCTAAGAGTTTCCTTGACATCTCTGTCCATGATCAATCCATCACAACATCTGTTTATTACATTCTCTAATTTTTCTCAAATTTAGATTTCTCTTTGTCTTTGCTGTTATCATCCCACTCCAATCATTATTTTTTGCCTTGAGAACTGTAAAAGTCTCCTTAATTAACTGTCTAGATTCTAACTCCATCCACCCAACCTATTTACCATACCACCTCCTGAAATCTTATAAAAACTAAAGCCTAATCATTTTGCCCTCATCCACTAAGCCCCCTTTACAAATGAAAACAAAACACTTCCATGGCTTCCCACTGCTCCTGGCATAAAGACCAAAACTCTTACCATGATCTGCAAGATTTATACGTTTTCCAGATTTACACCCTGCTCACGGTCACTCTCTGCACTCCCAAGTTGCATGGGCGGCTCTTGCCTCCCTGATAGACAAAAAGGACTTTGCACACGTTATTTCCTCTGCCTGAAACTTTCCTTCTTCCTTCCTTTCCTGACTGATGCCACCTCCACCCCCAAAAACATACTGGTGAAATACCCTCAGAAATCTCATGTTAGTGTTTATCCCTTCATGGAAGCACTTATTTACTACCATTGTAATTTTGCATGGAGTCCCAAGAGTATTTAAGCAGTTAGTGTCTGCTTCCTCCACTACACTCTCATCTCCACAATGGCTGGTGCCACATCTGTGTGTGGGCACTCCTGTGTTCGCCGCCCCAAGCACTGCAGGCACTCTCATTCTTGTTGAGTGAATGAACCTTTCACTGACTGGGAAAGGGCACTGGAAAGACCCTATTTAATCCTCTAGACTAGTTTCTGTCAAAATCCCAAATATTTTTCTATAATATTCATAACTAACAACTTAAAAGTAAACTTCTGCCAAAAGGTAGAAGCAACCCAAGTGTTCGACAGATGAATGTATGAATAATAGTCATACAAATGTGGTATATGCATTATTCAGCCTTCAAAAGGAATGAATTTCTATTACATGCTACACCACAGATAAAACTTGAAGACATCAAGCTAGAAATAAGCCAGTCACAAAAGGATAAATACTATACAATGCTCTACTCTAGATATCAGAGTAGTCAAATTCACGTAGGTACAAAGTAGAATGGAGGTTGCCAGGTGCTGGGGGAAGGAGGGATTGGGGAGTTATTGTTCGATGGCATAGAGTTTTAGCTTGGGAAGATCAAAACAGTTCTGGAGATGGATGGTGGTAATGGTTGCAAAAACAATGGGAATGTATTTAATCCTATTGGCCTTTTACACTTAACAACACATAAAATTGTAAATTTTATTGTTACTTATATTTTATCACAATTAAAAAAAAGTAAATGGCAACTCAGGGATTAAATAATCAAGTTCTACACCTTCCATCTGGCCCGTGTCCCACAAAACACGTATCCATGAGCCAAAAAATTCTTCTCAAGGTTATGTCAAATTACCCCCATGCTGATGGTGTCTGACTTTATATATGGAGGTTTCCAATTGCTTGCCTCTCTCTGGAAAAATGTGTGACTTCTCTCAAGATGGAAACTAACCTAATCGGGGAACCTGATAGATGAAGTAAAATCACACATCCTCAGGCACTGATGCTTTTCTGTGCTGAGACTTGGCGTGATCTCTCTCTCAGTCTGGCTCCACGCCTACAACCTACACATCTTAAAACTCATAATTGTAATACAGAAATTTCATTATCCACACTATCTTGTATGTTGAAACACAATTATGACAGGTTATAATATACCAAACACTGCTAAAGAAATAAAACATAAACAAAGGATTTAGGGGAAACCCATATTATAGATTTTATACAAAAAAGAATAAATCACACTTACCTTGACGTTCACTCTAATTTGGGTTATGTTTACCTCATTCCTTAACCATTACCAAGTAGCATTAACTAGATCCGGTTAAGAAAAAGAACCAGGTAAGAACTTTCTACCCTGTCAATAACATCCAATGACTTCTAAATTATCAGTAACAACACTCCAAAAAAATGGAGATTATATAGTTCAGAAAACTACTTAATGCAAAGGCTTTCCATGCTATATTTAATACCATTATATTCTTTTTTTTCCACCTGAAGTATTCACTTTCTAATTACTATGAAATTGAGAAAAATGGTCTGTTCTCAGTAATGATTAATCATACTTAGAACATATACAGCATTTAACCATAGATCTCAATGTGCTTTACAAACATTTAATTAAACTTCATCAAAACCCAAGGGAAACAAGAGAATAATGTACTTATCTTTCATAGAAAAATAAAGTGTATAAGATCATAGAGTTAGTAGCATAGAAGAATGCAAAATAGAATTCTAGGTTTAATACCACTTACTTCACTTAATAGTTAAATATTCCCTCTCACCGCTACCACAGAGGAAAAACTATAGAATCTGGGGAAAACTTGTGGGTATAGCAGAAAGAAGTCATTCTTTGATACTAGAAAACAAGAAAGTTTACAAATCGGATTTATAGTCTTTCATCGTTCCCCCCAAAAATGTCATTTTAAAATGCAATTTTCTATATAAGTACATCAAACTAATTACGCACGGAGCCAACGCAAAATAAAAGATGGCAGACATGGTCAGAAGTTTTACTTTCTTTTTTCCTAAAGCCAATACATCCCTCATTAATAGTGCAATTTCTTTTAGAAGAAAAGTTGATTATCTGATAAACTTCATATTTTAACTCAATCTTACATTTTCACATCATCTATTTCATCCTTGGGTTTACCTCACACAAGTCCTTGACGCACCCCACCCAAAGCAGTCACAGAAGACACCTGGGCTAAAATTTCATTTTTCTACTTTCATAAAGTGAAATGGTACTTCTGGTTCATTATTAAAAATCATTTAATTATGAAATAAAATATGAAAGGAACCAATGCAATGGCTGACTCATAGGAAATGCTAGATGCTAACTAAACATCTAAGTGAATCTAAATACAGTCTTTAGAAACACAAGCAATCTGTTGAGCTCATGTTCAGTATCAGAAAAACCTAAATGAGAGTTCAAGAAAGATCACCAAGATTTACTCCACAGATACGTTCCAAGAAAATGTTTTTTAAAAAAGTTTCTGATAGCAAACTGTTTATGTAGCATCTGATTTGTAATTGAAAAATTATGTGGCAACTATCTATAAGAAGTATAAGAAAATTATGTGGCAACTATCTGTAAGAAACATTCACATGGAGCATGTCAGAAGGGCAAGATTAAAAGATGACATGAGATGGAGACATGCAGAAAAACAAAGAAGACTGTAAGTCCATGAGAAATTCCCACGTGGGACTTTTAAAAATGCACTTACTTGAAAAATGGGCAGACCTTAACAGCAGATTTAACAAAGCTTACTTCATTTCCTAGAATCTATCTTTTAAAAAGGCCAGACTTCACTTACAAACCTCTGCTCAAGGTTTCGGAGGTGGAGTCCTTCAACAGTGGTTGTGAATTGCTCCCATGCTTTTTCTAGGGGCGAGGCCCTAGAACAAGGCTCCCCACTTTAACATTTCACACAGCAACATGGCAAATGTAAAATATTATCTTTATTACTAATTTGACTGTAATATCTTCCCTTGGGATTACTACGTTGCACGAGCACAATGATCTGTTAATTATCCCTCTGTTTTTATTTAAGAAAAACAGGAAATACTGCATCACAAACTGGGATTATAAGTTAGATGAGGGCAACCTCACAACACTTATCTGATATTGTCAACGACAGACTGGGCTTTATCCCTAGTACTTGACACACAGTAGTTCGCAGAATGAATCATAAGTGATTCCACTTCAACTTAGAAACTAACCTGTTAAATATTATTCCACACTTTTTAAGATGGGGAACCAGACACAGGATGGGTGAGTAATCATAAAAGATGTTTAATTTCTTTACTGACAAAATCTGGAGTTTTAAATAATTTGATAGGCAAAAAGAGTAGGCTAAAACCAGTAAATTTAAATTTAACAGGAATAAATATAAAGACCTACATGAATATTATCAAAATGTCACCTGTACAAGAAAAGGATAGGGGAGGGTCAGGCTTAAGGAACAATTCACAGGTGAGTGGGAGGTAGAAGGGGTTATCTACAAAACAGAGCAAGCCAAAAGCTCTCTCTGAGCCAGTGTACAATCCCCAAAACCTTAATATAATCTCAGGTTACATGATCAGACCTATGATGTCCAGAGCAAGGAAGACAGAAAATTCTACTGTTATCTGCACTGCAGGGTATTATAGGACCTATGCAAACAACAGCAAGCAGTAACTGGTTTAGGAAAGCTACAAAAAGCTGGTAATATTTAATACAGAAGAAGAGGATTAAAGGGTGGATCTTTATAAACATCTGAAACACAGTTATATAAAAATGGAACATTAATATTCACTTGTGTTGCTTTAAAAGAGACCTAGAAACATGAACTAAAATTGTGGAGAGACAGATTACAGCTAACCGTAATAGTTTCTTAATAATTAGCCCTTTCCTATAATAAACAATAACTGTTAGGATTTACTAAGTTCAAGAGTTTCTTAATAATTAACCTTTTCTGGCCGGGTGCAGTGGCTCATGTCTGTAATCCCAGCACTTGGGGAGGCCGAGGTGGGCGGATCACGAGGTCAGGAGATTGAGACCATCCTGGCTAACACAGTGAAATCCCGTCTCTACTAAAAATACAAAAAAAATTAGCCAGGCATGGTGGTGGCACCTGTAGTCCCAGCTACTGGGGAAGCTGAGGCAGGAGAATAGTGTGAACCCGGGAGGGAGAGCCTGCAGTGAGCCAAGATCACGCCCCTGCACTCCAGCCTGGGCAACAGAGTGACTGGGTCTCAAAAAAAAAAAAAAAAAAAAAATTAACCTTTTCCTGGCTGTGGGCACAGTGGCTCACGCCTGTAACCCCAGCACAAAAAATTAGCTAGGCGTGGTGGCGCATGCCTGTAATCCCGGCTACTTGAGAGGCTGAGGCAGGAGAATCACTTGAACCTGGGAGGTGGAGGTTGTGGTGAGCTGAGATCACCCCATTACACTCCAGCCTGGGCAACAAGAGTGAAACTCTGTCTCAAAAACTAATAATCATTAACCTTTTCCTATAATAAATGATAACTGTTAGGATTTACTAAGTTCTTACTTTGTACCAGGCACTGGGATACAAGTTTGACACTCATTCTGTAAAGGAATACCTCTCAAATACCTGTGCTAATTGCAATGTAAAAATCTTATAGAGGCTGAATGTTAGTGGTTATAGAAAAGAACTAAACTGCATTAAGTGGTTCAGCCAGAAAATTCTTACAATCCTTTCACACTCTTAAGGTAGTCTCATCTAACATGGCTGTCACCAAACACCAGCTGGTGGGAAAATGGGGTTAGAAGGGTGATATAATATAGAATCACAGAAAAAAACCCACCACATTAAGAGACACAGATCTGTTTTGGGATAAGACTTCCTTCATTCCAAGTAGCTCCTTCATTCCAAGATTTTTGTCTTTCTGTTTTGGCAGTGGGAGGGAGAGTATTAAAATGCCCCCTACTTTAAAAAAAAAAAAAATTTAGGCTGGGCGCAGGGGCTCACACATGTAATCCCAGCACTCTGGGAGGCTGAAGCGGGCGAATTGCTTGAGCTTAGGAGTTCAAGACTACCGTGGGCAACATGGCAAAACCTCATCTCTACAAAAAATTAGTCATTGTGGTGCACACCTGTAGTCCCAGCTACTAGTGAGGAGAATCACTTGAGCCTGGGAGGTCAAGGCTGCAGTGACCTGTGACTATGCCACCACACTCTAGCCTGGGCAACTGAGTGAGACCCTGTCTCAAAAAGTTAAAATAAATAAATAAATAAATAAATGATAATAAAAACAAACTATAGTGATAATTGGACGATAGTTAAAAGCAGTTTTCTTCTTAATTCCTTACTTAAAAATTAAAAGTTGCCAAACTTAGAAATGGATTAGAGAAAGATGATTTTAAACAATAATTTGAATTATTCAGATTATATATAACTAGATAGTAAGTTTTACAGAAGTTTTTTAAAAACTCTTTGATTTACTTGTATTTTTTCAATATTCTTAAATATTGCCAAAACACTTCCAACATTTTCTGGTACACAAGAAGCAATTTTGAGTGGTATTTTTTTCACCTCTAAAAACTATGAGTAATTTTAGACAACTGTAAGTTATTTCAGTCCATTAAAGAGTCACACCTACAAAAGATCTTTCAGCAAGATTTTGGCTTTCCTTAGTATAATATTAGTGGGCCTAACTTTTAAAATATACTAGTTACATGGTCATCCCTTTGTTATGAAATGGTGCTACTTACTAGTAAAAATGTATCCTATTGGAATGAAGCTACAAAAGCTAAAAAGAAAAAAAGATAGCTGTGCTTCATTAATGAGAGATACATGGTCAGAAAAGGAAAAACACTTAACTTGTAATAAAAAGACTGATTCATCAACCAAAGTCCGTAACTGCTGTAAATATAGCTCAGTCATCATTTCTGGATATTGGGCATTGGACATTCTATGCCCCAGTCTCTTTCTTCAAAAGGCACTTAAATGGTATACTTCTAAAGTCGTTAAATTATTTGATATATATCTCCTTTGGGCCGTATTTTAAGTTTAAATAACATAAAAAGCAACATATGTTAAATTCATTTTTAAAAATGAGTAATTTCATAGATTGGGTGGGAAAGACCTATGTTTGGCTCTACGTCTAACATTTACTACCTGAGTGACCATGAATATTGAACATGTTACTTAACCTCTTTGGCCTGTGCATGCTTATCTACTGACAGGGAAATACAGAACTGTGGGCTAGTTTCATTGACAAAACATATGAGTAAACATCTAGCAGACTGGTGTATCATAAACCTTCAGTAAGTGTCAATTTTATCCTCTCTAAAATATTCTAAAAAGTCAGCTGCATTCAAGCCTCGGCCAATCCATTAATTAATGTTGTACAGTTGTCTGGGACTAAGATCCTTGTGCTGATATCCCTGTATAGACCTGTTAAAGCAGGAAGATCCATAATGCCACTCCTAGAAATACTAAATAACGCTAATTTTGCAAGTTTGATCCAAAGATATCAACATGATGTAACCACGGTATTGCTGAGACCTATATATTATCTGTTGTGTGAAGGACATACACGATGGCATAAAGTTACTATCTGCTTTCAAAGACCTATTGAGTCTTCAGAAATTTAATGTTTAAGAAATACATTTTTATTTTTAAAAAATATAGTGTCTGGAAATATCAAAATATGCAAGTTTTCAAAATGGTTCAACAGTCTTTCTAAAAGAAAGCGACAGTGATTATAAATGGACGCATTAACCAATGGACTTTACTACCAGAAATAGAATTGTGCCTGCCCTTTTGTTGTAATCAAATACATTCCAGACAGGAAAAACTTCCAAATAAACTTGCCTGGAAAATAAATAAATATAGAAGACCATCTCAATATAGAAAATATTTTAAACGACACAAAAATTTCTAAAATATTTTCTTGAAAAAAAAAAAGTCAGCCTACCAATACAGCCATGAGTTTAAGATAACAACATTCAATATTCCTTTTTATAAATAAATGAATAAACAGAGCCCAAAACACACACTAATTTCTCCCTCTCCTTAGCAGCTCTAAAAAGGCATGGAGAGCATTTTACTATTCATATTTTAGTTATACTTTGAAATTATCAGTTACTACCATTTTGATACTTAAAAACCAAAGATAATACTAGAATATTTAATTGTAAATATCAGATCATCATTGTTAGAATTGCTAACAGCTGGCCAGATAGTTCATGTTCATGGAAGATTACATTACCTATGTGTGTCATAAAGTAACATTTCACATTATTAATAAAGGAAGGCCTTCACTCATTAATTCTACAACTGACCCCCAAGACTTTAAATGGGATAGGACAAGAAACAAGACATCAGGGATGAAAGAGCCCATATAGCCAAGACAATACTAAGCAAAAAGAACAAAGCTGGAGGCATCATGCTACCCGATTTCCAACTATATACTACAAGTCTACAGTAAGCAAAACAGCATGGTACTGTTACAAAATCAGACACATAGACCAACAAAACAGAATAGAGAACTCAGAAATAAGACTGTACATCTACAACCATCTGATCTTCAACAAATCTGACATAAACAAGCAATGAGGAAAACATTCCCTATTTAATAAATGGTGCTGGGAGAGCTAGCTAGCCACATGTAGAAAACTGAAATTGCTCCTTTCTTACACCTTTTACAAAAATTAACTCAAGATAGATGAAAGACTTAAATGTTGATATGATATGGCTCTGCATCCCCAACCAAATCTCATTTTATAGTTCCCATAATTCCCAAGTGGTGTGAGAGGGACTTGGTGGGAGGTGATTAAATCATGGGGCGGGTCTTTCCTGTGCTGTTCTCATGATAGTGAATGGGTCTCATGAGATTTGATGGTTTTAAAAATGGGAGTTTCTCTGCACAAGCCCTCTCTTTGCCTGCTGCCATCCACATAAGATGTGACTTGCTCCTCCCTGCCTTCCACTATGATTGTGAGGCTTCCCTAGCCACATGGAACTGTGAGTCCAATTAAATATCTTTCTTTTGTAAATTGCCCAGTGTCAGGTATGTCTTTATCAGCAGTGTGAAACTGACTAACACAAATGTAAAACCCAAAACTATTAACAATCCTAGAAGAAAATTTAGACAATGACATTCAGGACATCGGCACAAGCAAAGACTTCACACACACACACACACACTCGTACACACAAACACCAAAAGCATTGCAACAAAAGCAAAAACTGACAAATGGGATCTAATTAAACTAAAAGGCCTCTGCACGGCAAAAGAAACTATCATCAGAGTGAACAGACAACCTACAGAATAGGAGGAAATTTTTACAATCTATCCACCTGACAAAGGTCTAATATCCAGAGTCTACAAGAAACAAAAAACATTTACAAGAAAAAACCAGACAACTCTATTAAAAAGTGGGCAAAGGACACGAACAGACACTTCTCAAAAGACACTCATGCAGCCAACAAAAATGAAAAAAACTCAAACATCACTGATCATTAGAGATATTCAAATCAAAACCACAAGATACCATCTCACACCAATCAGGATGGCTGTTATTAAAAAGTCAAGAAACAACAGACGCTGGCGAAGTTGCAAAGAAAAAGAAACACTTTTACATTGTTGGTGGGAGTATAAATTAGTTCAATAATTGTAGAAGACAGTGTGGTGATTCCTCAAAGACCTAGAGGCAGAAATACCATTTGACCCAGCAATCCCATTACTGGGTATATACCCAAAGGAATAGAAATCATCTTATTATAAAGATACACACACACATGTTCATTGCAGCACTACTCACAACAGCAAAAACATGGAATCAACCCAAATACCCATTAATGAGAGACTGGATAAAGAAAATGTGATACATACACACCATGGAATACTCTGCAGCCATAAAAAGGAACAAGATCATGTCCTTTGCAGAGACATGGATGGAGCTGGAAGCCATTATCCTCAGCAAACTAACAAAGGAACAGAAAACCAAATACTGCATTTTCTCACTTTTAAGTGGCAGCACA